ATTATTATTATTATTTTTTTCCTCAATAGATTTTAGACTGTGTTTGTTAGAAATCCATACCGTGTACGGGTTCTGGGAAGTCGGGGGGGGGGAAGGGGGGGGGGCGTTGGGGGGGGGGGGGGGGGGAGGGGGGGGGGGGGTGGGGGAGAGGGGGGAGGGAGGGAGGGGTATATATTAGGCTAGACAAGACTTTGGTGGTAAACTAGAATTATTTTGATATACAAGAAATTGTACTTCGATGTCTTACTGATTGAGGAATGATGAAATGTTTGCCTTAAAAGAAATAAAACTTTTGAAATAAAAAAAAAAAAAGAATAACCAAGAAAAGTTAGAGCTACTTACGCAAAATTAAGAGAAATCTTGCTGATCAGCAGAAAGAGACACAATACCATTTTTATTTTCACATAATTCTAATGAGCTGCTGCAGATTTTTTTTTTTTTTTTGGTCTTTTCATTAATTTCATTAATAATGGCTGCAGCCAATCCAGCCAGACCTCTCTCAGCTGACATACACATTGCGTCGGTAAATTTTTGCTTGTCTCACCAAAAACAAAGGCGCATGCCCATTCTCTCTCTCACTCTAGCTCTCCCTGACACACACAAAACTGTGACTCACTGGTGAATTAGGCGGCGTTTCATCTTCGCTGGCAATCTGCTTGAACATTTCCAACGTCTGCTCATGTTTCTGAATTGTAGCCTGTATCGCCTATGGATTTAATGATATGTCTTTGATTACAAAATGGACGCAGGGAGAAAGAGCAGACCCGGGAAAAGAAACAAGGCCAGCCCTTTTCGGTGAAGCAAGGGTAAAACCAGGTTTAATGAGTTCCTATGTACACAGTGCTCTGCCCAGAATCTGCCTGGCACATCATGGTTTATGGTGAAAGCAACACTATTTCTCTTGTCTCTAATTTTGTCTTCTTCTTGTGAAAAAGGGAACAGACATTGGTGCAGGTCAGTGGTGGGTTGCAGGAGTTACGCCCCGGTACAGGCGTATCGGAGCCTGCCTGGAGCACTGGGTACCGTTCTGGTACGGTGCTACAGAGGGCCCACCTGCCCGCCCGAGCTCCTTACCTGTCTTTTAAGTCTTCGGCGCTTCCGCGCATGCACATGGTACATACAGCGCCTGCGCGACGCTCCACCGAGCAGCTGGAGCGTCACGGAGGCTCGCGGAGGCGTTGCTGGATGGTAAGATGCATACGTGCGCTGTGTGTGCTGCGCGCGTCTATGTGGACAACGCCAGGCCCGTTCCAACCGTACCGGTTGGAACAGGATCCAGAACACACCACTGGTACAGGTGTAAGGTTTGTCATGTACTAAGGTGCATGATAACACATGCATGGATACATGCCTAATGTTCTGGATCTGCATGGCCTGAAAGTAGTCTGTACAGTGCCAACACAGACGTTCAAAAAATTAATTTGAGACAGGATTATCCCACCCCGTTTGATCAAAGATCCTTCCCAGTATCTGTTGGACCTAAGAAACTCATCCACTCTAATATAATCTAGATCCGTGTTTCTTAACTTCAGCAACTTTAAGGTGTGTGGACTTCAACTCCCAGAATTTCCAAGATGGTGCAGTGATTAGAGTGCAATACTGCAGGCTACTTCAGCTGACTGCTAGTTCAGCAGTTCGGCTGTTCAAATCTCACCGGCTCAAGGTTGACTCAGCCTTCCATCCTTCCAAGGTTGGTAAAAATGAGGACCCAGATTGTTGGGGGCAATAGGCTGACTCTGTAAACCACTTAGAGAGGACTGTAAAAGCACTATGAAGTGGTATATAAGTCTAAGGGCTATTGCTATTTCTGAGCCAGAATTCTAGTTGGGAAATTCTTAAGAATTGAAGTCCATACATGTTAAAATTGTTGAAATGGAGAAACATGTATCTAGAATGATACCCACGCATGTGCCAATTAAGAGAAATCTCTCTCCCTCCCCTTCTTCTAAATTAAAAAAAAACATGGATTTGAACATTGCAAGAAAGGTGATATAGTTGTAACAATATCTGAACTCTTCCTTTGTTTTCTTACTGGTCCGTACAAATAAGTCACTATGTGTAAATTGGGTAGCTATACAAATGCGTTTAATAAATTACAAACACAGCAATATATAGCTTGAGAAGCAATACTGAATTACCTGGATCCAGTCTCGCTTTTCTTCTTCAGTCCTAAAAGAGAAAGATCATTGTTTTCCCCAAGGCATTTTATTGGGATAGCTGATCTCAAAAAAAAAAGAAAGAAAAAAGTGCAGTGGTGGGATGTATGTGTGTGTGTGTGTGAGCATTTTGTCCTGTGTTAATGGGAGGATTGCTCAATTTGTCTGATTTGGGATTTGATAGTGAAGGAAGAGCAAGAAGAACCAAGATGTGACGATAATGGAATTCTTATGCATGGGATCCAAAGGAAAACAAGCAGAAAAGGAAAATCATTGAGGTACAAAGATGAGCTGCTCAATAGGAGGCAATTCGCTTACTTTGAGAAAAGAAAAGAGACTTAAGTTTTCCACCCATACCTGTTGTAACATAAGTGTAGGCATGCATAGCTATGCTGGAACACGTATACAACAGCAGTAATCATTCACCATAAGGTCAGTAATACAAACTGCTGACTCTGAAGCATTAAGTAGGGCAGAAGTCACAAACTGTTAACTCAGCACTAAGTAGGGCAGAGGTCACAACCTGTTAACTCTCAGCACTAAGTAGGGCAGAGGTCACAACTTGTTAACTCTCAGCACTAAGTAGGGGTCAAAAGTTTGCATGCTGACTCTG